GGGTATCGCTTGCTCTAGAAACTAGAAACCAAAATCCATATAACTCAATTAGTGAGACAATTCCATTGGAACGAGCTCGATATGATAAAAATCGATCGAGTTATGGTTTTTCGAATATGGTGCAGATAAACATTTGCCACAATTTTCCCGTGCGAACACACTTGACAAATTCACATCTTTGGGGACTTTCTTAGCAGAATTAGCTTACGGCCGTGAGATATGAAAATGTAGAGAACATTGAGACATAGTTTTGGCCCGCATAACGAGTTCAAAACGAGCCATGGGGTCTGAGTTATGAATTTTTTAGTGTCCAAAAACTGCACTTCCAGCACACTTTTCCGCTGTATTTCTTCGAAACAACTCGCACATTCAGAGCTCTTATTCAAAGAATTGGCTCTCAAGCCACACATGAATTTGAAAATACATCCACAGGGATATCTTGGCAAAAACATTTGAATATGACGAACCGAATTGGCCCTGTGAATTTCTGACTACCCGAATAGTTGCGAAACGGTTGACCAATTATTAGCATAAAGAAAATCCTAAGAATGTCTATTAACGAAATAAATCTCTTGAAATTTATCGAGGCTCGTCTAAAACACCTTGATCCCATAACCATATAACCAATTATATGTATGCATATGATGATGCAAAAGTCAAAATGTAGAGGGTAAATTTTAGGGTACAACACTTATCATCACAAGTTTTCTTAGGAATGGACAAAAAAGGTGAGGATTTACTTACCTTGGTGGTTGCACATGTCTTTATAGCGAATGTCTCGTTCCTAATTTTTGTTGGAGCCTCTAAGGGGATTATGGAAACAAGAACAACACCAACGGCGAAGTTCCAAATGTCTTCGCTAGAGTAATAAGAACTTGACATCTTGAAATTTGGTTGAACTTGAAGAAAGTAGGAACACAAAAATGTTGAATCATTTTCTTTGACTAAGAGTGAGCAGGGAGTTTGTATGATAAGAGATAATATTATAACGTGTAGAAAGGGATTATATAATGACTTTCCTAAAATAGTGTGCATCATTAATTGGTGAAAATAACTTCTCTCATAACCCACTATTTTTAAAAGACGGTTGAAGATTCATGATCGTTGTTTCTTGGAAGCCTGGTGTTCACAATGCGTTGTCAAGACATTCAGTTTGACATTGCACTCTTTTGACCTTTGATGCAACCAATACATTTGAGCCCATTTGCTTCTATTTGCTTTAAACATATCCAGGTTCAGAACTTTAGTGTTATGTTTATCTTCTTTGATTTCCACTTCCTTCATTGTTGAACATATGAATAGACAAATGACATCCTCGGATAAGTTTTTTGAAGAGGTACAAATTACAAGACTATTCATAGAATCCTTGTTTTTCAATTTATTTTATTATATCCCTTACATAATTATCTCTAGACTGAGAAGAATGTCTTGGATAATCAAATAATCTAAAACAGGAAGTTTTTATGTGACCATACTTACCACAATAGTGACATTTCTAGAGATGAAGCTTGAATTTGGTCTGAGTTTTTTGTAACTCGGTATGATGTTGAAACATTTGGTCTGACATTTCTATTTCATATTTTTTTATACCAAAATCATAATTTGAAACAGATGTTCCTCTTTTGTTTTTCAAAGACTGATAGTTAAAGCCTATACCAGTGAATCTTCTACCTCCATATCCAATTTGAATAATTTCATTCAATATACTAGATCCACTAGTCATGTTTTCAAGTTTAGAAGTTTATAAAGTTACCTTATCTTGAAGCTCATAATTTATAGCTAAAAGTTTTTCTTTTTCCTCATAAATTTGAGTTAAGACCTTATTTTGTGCCTTACTTAACTTACACACTTCTTCACTTCTGATACAAAGTTCCTTGTAGGATTTCTCAATCATTTTTAGCTACAGTACAAGAATTTATTAACCTGAAAATTTTCTTTTCCACTCCATTGAATAGAGAAATCAGAGCCATGGAATTTCCAAGAGCCAATTTATCATCTTCTTCTTACCAATCTTCCTCTGGCTTCAAGGACTCATTCTCATATTTGTTCTTCACAATATAATGACTCAATCCTTTCAAAACAACCTTCCAAGATTTGATGTCCATGGATTTCAGAAAAGCTACCATTCTAACCTTCCACCAGTCATAATTTGAACCATCTAACAGAGGTGGTATGCTGTTGTATCCTCCTTCCTTCTCCATAGAGCCATAAATTATTCTCCCTAGAACTCATCCAATAGACAGAACAGGATGCCTGCTCCGATACCAATTGAAATTCTAGCACTTTAAAAAAGATGTCAATATTGATGTCCCAACACCAAAATACAATGTCAAAACAAATATTAAGACATCGTCTGCTGACACAACAATTTTACAAAAATAGAAGTTATGGAGAATTAAAATACATAAGGTAAAATAACACAGTTAATTATTAACCCAGTTCGATGCAATGTCACCTACTTTGAGAACTACCAAGTCAGGAAGGAAATTCACTATGATAGCATTAGTTTAAAGGTAAACAACCCTAGTTTACAACTTATCACATAATCTCCACCTTGTGTAACTTCTACCTAGACATCTTCTAGATATTAGATCCCCCTCTCACGTTCCACAATCACTTCAGTGATAAAACCAGTCACAAACCAGTGACAAGAACTAAAACAGAAGATTACACTTCCAATAAACAAATACTCAACTCTTTGCTTAAAAGCTCATGAGTGAGAATAATAACTTGATACACAATAAACTCTTTGCTTAAAAGCTCATTAGTGATTTTCAAGTAACAATGAATAATTAGTCTATTTCAATATATCAGAAGATACATGAGTGACATACAAAGAAAATATAAAAACTCTAAAAGACTCTCAAAACCCTAAACCATTATACACCCACAATTTCTTGTTGTGAATGCTTGCTATTTTAGGTTTAGCAAGTCCTTATTTATAAATTCTTGCATAATGGGCTTTGACTCTTCAATCAAATTCAATTTTCTAGTAGTAAATCAACTGCAAGATCTTCTCCACAAAAATAGCAACAAATCTTTAAAAAAATTTAAAAAGTCTCCAAGATCCTTTTTATGAAACCAAATCAAATCTGCATTGTTCCTAAAATATCCTTGCTTGGTTGCACCTGTAGAGAACTAGAATAATCCAGAATCTCATATTTTAAAATCAAATCTTCAAGGATTTAAACATCTGAATTGTTATGATGTTCTAATATAACATGTCACAACATCTGTCAGAATATTTGTTAAAAATAGTTACAGGAGACTCTATTGTACCAGCTGGTCAATGTGTTATGGCATCTTGCTCATATCAGATTGTGAGACATGTTTTCAACATGAAACATATTTTACCAAAATTGTTGTCAATCATAAAATCATAGACCTAACAATATTTTACTTTGACTTATTTCGACTTTGTTGTGTACTTTAAATTTTTTACTTTATACATATCATTTTCTGCATATCGATTGTATTATCTAATTCATCATAGTATACATTTACTATATGTCAATTTCATTTAAGTACACTAAAACAAACTTTAAATTTATTTCTAGGTCTAATTACGCATATGCATCTTCGAATTATTTCTTGTGTGAATACGTAGACGTCAGTCTATCATTTTACTTTATTATTAATATTTTAAATAATTTATAAATTTCATTTTAAATATTTTTCCTTAATATAGTAAAAATATTTGATAACTTTCATTGTGCTGCGTGAGATATGACTAATTAGTTTAAAATATACATTAATTTACAAAAATGATGTTCACTCATCCGGAAGTATAACACTTTAAAATCTCTCAAACTTATCTTACTTTAATAGTAGTAATTAATGGAATATTTTATATGAAAAGATTAATTAATTAAACTTATTATTTTTGGTTACCCTTTATAAATTAAAGGATAACTTATCAGTTATAACGTATATCAATTTAAATTTTATAATATAAAATAAAATTTTAAAATTATATAAAATGTTAAAGAATTAAAATGAAATCAAGAAAATTATATATAATTTGATTTTTTAATAATAAGATATTGATATGTAAAATATAAATAATAATTATCACATTAGATAGAAAAGAGGATATTAAAACTTTTTAAGTGAGAAAATACATTACCCAAATTTAGATTAATATTTTATTTTAAAAATTAACTTTATTTATAAAATTTAATTCATTTAGATTATTAAAAATAAATTATAAATTATAAGAGGTAGTCTAGGTCTCACCAATAAACTTTGTATGTTTATATTTTTAATTATAAAAATATCATCTTATTTTCAATTATAAAAATATCACCTTATTTTCAATTCATATATTATTATTTTTATTTATTTAAAGTTATGTTCGTTCAAGACCAATATATTACCTTTGATTGATAATAGATTATATTGATTTCTCTTTTGATAAATATCCTTCAAACTCACATCTCATTTAGGTATTGAATTTTTTTATATTACTTACAAATTTACTATAAATAAATAGATTTTTCCTCGTTATCATCTTGAATATATATATTTATAATATGAATGTACCACATATCACTCTAGCATTTTTTCTATTACATAAAACTCATTTTACATTTTCTATTAAATATTATTTCTTTAAGTTTAGTAAAACAGTTGGCTAAGTCACACATAGTTGGAAAATAACTAATTTAAAATATACTAAAAATTAATTTCATATGCATCCTAAACTTTTAACATTTCCAACTCTCTTAAACTTATCTTTCTCTATTAGTAATAATCAATTTAATGGAGAATTCTAGAAGAAGAAAAATTAATTAATTTTACATTTTACATTTTATATTTAAATTTTTAATATTCTAAAAATATCACCTAATTTTTTCCTTTACATATTATTATTTATTTGAACTTACCTTTAATAGATAATATAATATATTTATTTCTTTTAATAAATATCCTTGAAACTCACATAATCAATCCATCACTTTTGGAGAGTTTCAATAAATCTCATAATAATATTATTCATAATGTCAGAAACACAAACACACATTGTTGCTGATGATTCTGAAGAGTTTCTCTCTTTGAGTTTAGGAATAGGATCTTCATTCAAATCCCTCGAAAAGAAGGAATATGGATGCCGATTTTGTCACAGGAAGTTCTCGAGTTTTCAAGCTTTAGGAGGACACCAGAACGCTCATAGGCGTGAAAAGATGCTTTCAAAAATTGAAGAATTTCAAATGGAAAATTATGCTCAACATTTTTATCCATACTATGTAGGGTCAACTTTTTATCATGGAATTGGAAATCCATCATGGCCTCAATATGCCATGATGAATAATTCTGGTTGGAATAATCCAATTCCAATGAATAATAATGTGGGATTTGGAAATTATAATGAAGCTAATAATCAGATGCAAGTTCCTCCATATGGTGCTGGTCTTAACAGTGTCCTAATGGAAAATAACAATCCTTATGTCCCAAATACTCATCAAATTTCATCCTCACTACCTGATTTGCGCCTCAGACTTTAAAATTTTCTGTTTGATCCAATAGCGGTTTTGTTGATGTTTAGTTGTTTTGATTTCTACTGTGGATTTTTGAATCTTTTGTAGTTGTTTAGAGTATCATTTGTATTTTTGTTTCATCTACTATATATTTTTTGTCATTTAAAATAAAAGCTATTGGTGTTTAATTTGGTCTGTTTTTATTTTTATTTTTCATTTAGATTTTTAGTTTGATTATTTGTTGTGTTCTATTCAATGTAACTTGTTTTAGATAGTATTTGTATTTGGCTTTTTCATTTTTTGATGATGCTTTTAATGTATTTTTTAATGGATATAGTCTCTAATTCCTCATTTACTTTTCTTTATTATACTAGGTTGGAACTTTCCTCGTATTCCTTTTTTACATATTATATTTATTTTTCATTAAAGAAAACTATAGTATAAAAATGGATATTTATGTTTCTTTTTTGTATGAGTGCACAGTCTTTTTTTTTGTGTGCAACAAATGTATATTTATGTTAACTTTTATTTGAATAATTTATGTTACCTTAATTTAAAAAAATGATATGCTTTAGTCTAAAACGATATTTAAACTAGCATTTAAAAAATTAATATAATAAATTATAAATTTGTAATGAAAAAACTATTAGTACGTAGATTTTTTATTGTCATATAAACTTATAAATTATAAATTACAAACTTAAAATTATGTAATACAAAACAAAACTTAAATATACATGTTTTTTAATTATTATAATTTTTTAATTTTTAATCGACTATAAAAATATATTATTCTTGTTAAAAATAAAATAACATTATTAGTACATTATTACCTCATATTCACTAAATTTTTTACTTTATCAATATATTATCCTTAACATAGAATATAGTTTAACATTATTTTTTAAAATATTTTATAATAACTAATGTGTCTATTTTGTCTCGTTTTGAGGTATTTATGGTGTAGTTTGAGTGTTTTTTATGTTAAAAATTCTCCGACCTGTAAGAAAAGAAAAGTGTGATTTTATTTGATTTGATTGACTTTTAAAAATACAATCAAACCAAACTAAGCAAAACTAATGCAACTTTCATTAGTTCGATTTTTTTACAAAATATTGAATCATAAGTAACTATATAGAAGACAATATAATTTTTTGGTTAGTCATTTGTGTAGCACAATAAAATAAATTTGTAATTATCAAAATAAATTTATAATTTCATACATAAATATATAATTATATAATTGTATTCTTAAATAAATTTGAAATACTATATTTTGTAGTTATCAAAAAATTGAAATACTATAGCACTATAATTCCTTTTTTGTTATCGAATATTTTATATATAAATGGATAATGAAGTAATAGAAATTAAATTTTTGTTAATATTATTCTTATCAACATCAGCAAAAAAACTAAAAATAAATAAATATATATATATATATATATATATATATATATATATATATATATATATATATATATATATATATATATATATATATATATATATATATATATATATATATATATATATATATATATATATATATATATATATATATATATATATATATATATATATATATATATATATATATATATATATATATATATATATATATATATATATATATATATATATATATCAATTATTTTTTGCAATACAATTGTCTATTTTTATTTATTTTAGTAACAATTTTGATTCCCTATTTGACCGTGTTCAAGGAAGTAGTTCTTCTATTTTAAATCCAAGTAATTTCTCACATTTTAAAATTGAAAACATGTTCTATTTTAAATAATTTATCATTTGTGAAACAAAATGAATAATTGTATGAGAATATCATGAGAGATAAAAAAATATAAGTGGTACATCGTTAAAAAAATAAACATTATCAATTTTGATGCAAAAATATCAAAATAATATCAAAATTATTTAAATTTAAAATACATGAATTAGTTTTATAATTGAGATGAAATAAGAGACTAAAATTACAATTAAGTTTTTCTTATTATTATGTTACAATTATTATAGTTAAGATATAAATAAAACTCTAAGTTTAATATTAAGATTTTCATTGATAAAATTTGGAGTTGGCTGAAAAATTTGTTGATATCTTATAACTTATATTCAATAGTTGATAACCGATAAATTATAACTTATAATTAATAATCGATAATTAATACTTAGTAAGTTTTTTTTGATAGATCAATAGAATATATTAATTTCAAGAGACTGTACAATACAAAAAGTCCTAGGGCCACAAATAAACTATCTAGTTATAGTTTGCTTATACCAATTCTTATTTGTTTATGGTAAGCTTATTTACATCCACATTATTACAATGATTTTTGACCTCATCAATAATTCTTTTAACACACCTATCCAGAAATAAAAGCTTATGATTCTAAAGAACATCATTTCGAATTCTCCATAGATGATAGACCAAAGCAATAGTAGCTGAAAGTTGAAACTGCTAACTGTTGGAGGGAGATACTATGAGCATTAATACATAGTGTATGACTAGACACCTTTTGTGAGAGACACACCACTTATCCACCTAAAACTTTAAGGTGATAGGTGAGTGAGTTCTCCCACTTATATATGCTTAAGTCTTCATATTCTTATTCAATGTGGAATTGTTTCCTCACTTAGTCACACTTGCTATATTATTTCAACACTCTCTCTCAAGTGTGAGTCCATAATGCTCCCCCACTTATACCGCACGACTTCTTAGGCACATTTCGATACAAGTTCCTTCTGGTCCCTCTCTCGAACCAAAGGCTCTGATACCAATTTGTTAGTGCGTGATGCACTTTTAGTGAGGAGAGAAAGAGAGAATAATAAAGGAAAATAAGGATTTGTATTATTCAAGTGTAAAAATAATGATACACACTATGACTATTTATATACAACTCTAATTGGGCTTGGGCTAACACAACTTGGATTATATTAAATATTAAATCTAATCAAATCTAATCTAATCTAATTTAATATTTCAACACACCCCATAATCTAAGTTGTCGAACATCCTCAAAAATAGTCAATTTGAACTATTCCTAATTTCTTTCTCAAATTCAGGAATCTGTCAATCTTCAATTTTTTGGTGAAAATGTCAGCCAATTGTGCTTCACTTGAGCAATGCATAACTTCAAGTTCACCTTGATTTACTTTTTCCCTCAAGAAGTGAAACCTTGCTTCAATATGTTTACTTCTTCCATGCAGAACTGGATTCTTTGCCAGATCTATGGCTAACTTGTTGTCGATTTGTAATACTAGAGATTTCTTCACTTCGACAGTCATTTCTTCAAGTACAGATCTGATCCAAATTGCTTGACATGCAGCATAGGATCCTGCTATATATTTAGCTTCAAACGATGACAATGCCACCACAGGTTGCTTCTTCGAACACCATGAGATTGGGGCACCAAATACTTAAAAGAAATATCCAGTTGTGCTTCTTCGATCTTCCTTATCTCCACACCAATCAGCATCTGAAAAACAATTAACTATTGCTTCTATTCCTTCAGAATCTCATCGAAATAGTATTCCACAATTTATTGAATCCTTCAAATATCAAAGGATTCTTATTGCAGCCTTCATATGTGACACTCTTGATTCACCCATATATATGCTTACTAATACGACTGCGAAACCTATATCAGATCGACTGTTGCACACATACCTTAGAGATCCCACAATTTGCTTGAACAAAGTTGCATCGACTTGTCTTTCTCTTCATTCTTCTCCAACTTCACATTTGGTTCGACAGGTGAGGATGCAGGATTCGAATCATCCATTTTGAATCGCTTGAGTATCTCTTTGACATACTTTCTTTGATGTAGAACCATACCTTGCTTCGACATTTGAAATTCCATGCCTAGAAAATAAGACAACTTTCCTAGATCCTACATTTCAAATTCCTTCGTCATCAGTTCTTTGAACTTCGACAAGTTCTCCAAACTATTTCTAGTTACTAGCAAGTCATCAACATACAAACAGAAGATTGTTATATCTTATGCTACAACCTAAACATATACACCATACTCTGATTTGCATTTGACAAATCCTAATTCGACTAAGTATGAGTCGATCTTCTTGTTCCATGCCCTAGGTGTCTGCTTGAAGCCATATAGCACTTTGTGAAATCTATATACTTTACTCGCTTCCTTCTGAATCACAAATCCAGGAGGTTGTGTGACATAAACTTCTTCGTCTAAAGGACCATTCAGAAATGTTGATTTCACATTTAGATGGAATGTTGACCAGCCTTGTTTTATGCCAATGCTATCACTAGTCGAACAGTCTCTAATCTTGCTACTGGAGAAAATACTTCAGAGTAGACGAGTCCTGCTCTTTGAAGAAAACCTCGAGCTACTAATCTTACTTTATGTCTTGCTATTAACCCATCTGCATTGTGTTCAAATTGAACACCCACTTTACTTTGATAGCTTTTGTATGTGCTGGAAATTCGACTAACTCCAATGTGTTGTTTCTTTCGATTGCATGTAACTCTTCAACCATAGCTAACTTCCACTTGTTAATCTTCAAAGCTTCTTTATAGTTGATTGGTTCATCACCTGCAAGTAAAGCAAAATGAATTAATTCTCCATCTGGTGTAATTTCATCATCACCCACCACTTCATAATCATGAAGTCTTGTTAGAAGAACTATATTTCTTTGAGGTCTTTGGCTTGTTTCAGCCACAACCTCCTCGACTTCGACTGTGATGGGAGTGTCAGCAACCGCTTCTTCTTCGACTTCAACTGGATTCTCAACAATTCCTTTGACATCTACTTCATTAGTTTCTTCATCGAAATCAAAGTTCATTAATGATTTGTTAATTGAGTTGCTAGAATTTCAATCCCAGGTAGAATTTTCATTCATCACAATTTCTCTACTCAACACAATCTTCTCATTAACTGGATTGAATAGTCTGTATGTACCAATTTTATGATATCATACCAGAATCATAGGTTCACTCTTGTTACAAGCTTTCTTCTTCTTGCATCAAGAACATTCTTGTA